ATAAACTTCATTGCACCTCAAAATTGAAGCAATCTATCGACAAAGTCAAGCAGAACCTCAATTCAATAATATGTACTAAATCACTAGTTTCCTAATTAACTGTCTCAAAATAGAAATCAATATATTTTCTTAACTATTGTGGGTGTACAATCTATTGAGTCTTTTTACAAATATGCAGTGGAATAGGTGTTTAAATTTCATAAGTAGGTTGTAGATGACTTCCTTCTTAAACCGATTACAATATCTCTCATGCTCTCTCGCTATTCCTCACACACACGTGCACACACATACATGCACACTCATTATCTATCGGCGGCCATGGCAATTGTGGATTTGGTTTCCTGTATTCTATTGGATTGTGCTATAATAGCTTCAGCACAACATACAAACACACATGCACAATTAATGCATCCATATACAAGCAATAAGAAACCAGCTCATTCAATAATAACTTGTAATAGCTTGAACACCACTTAGACATACATTCACAACTGATGCATCCATATCCCAACCTCAAAAATATATCTCATTCAACAATAAAACAACATTGTTGTTTGTCCCACAATGTTCCCAACATTAATGAAAAAAAGGACAAGATGCTTAGGAAGACAGTCTAGAGATGCCGAGATCCCTTGAAAAAGACATCAATACCTATTTCTTCCCCCTTTCACATGCCCTCAATCTGAAGCATTTGTGCCAAATATCTTCTCCAATTTGTTGAAGTATATAGGCAAAGATTTACCTTTGTACTTTGTCATATAAGTAAACTCCAGTAAGAAGAACACACATATGTATTGAATTTGTGTGAACATTGCACCTAAAATTGCAAAACCACAAAGAAATAGAAAACAAATGCATTTCAACTCACAGCTGTATACTGATCCCATATGGCTGGTTCGGCAGTCACCATTCCATTAGCCTTATCCCAGCCAAAACCAGGTTGTCTCAAAATGTTTCTTACTTACTTCCCTGTACATTTCTACAAACTGCTTGACCTTACTCTTCAACAGTTCCAAGTCATAACAGTACCCATAATTGCTTACCATATATTTTGTCATCCGATTCCATACACCTTTCTTGAAGTCCCCCTTTCTTGACCTCTTTCGACAAGAAATCAATGAATTGGGCCTCCTCTATAGGGTTCCACTGGCTCATATTGTTATGGTAATCTTTAGCAGTTATAATAAAGCCTCATTAGGTTGATTTCTTTAAACTAGATGGCACTTAATATTAAGTATAAATAAATAATAAAAAGTACAAGGCATTATAGCTCAAACATAAATATTTAACAAAAAGTTGACATTTTCTCCAAAAATATAGACACATTTAGCAAATAAACCTGCCTAACTATATAGGCAATCCTAAATAACTGTAGTCTTAAGCGATCATAGTCACACCAAAGAAGTCCAACTTCTGGAGGAATGGAGGACAAGCATGTTTTTGTGTATTGTAGTTTCACGAGAATCTAGGCTGTGTTTTGGGAAAAGGGGGGGTTTACAAGTAATAATCTTTCCCCATAGATTATAACGGACCACACTACGACGCCAACGAATCTTAAATGGGTGCAAGAAAAAAACATTGGCGCTGCTGGAAAAATGTATGCCCAAATGAGGCCTCAGTCACAACCATTCTTCTACCGCTGAAAAATTCATCGGCTCTCTCTAATAGACAAAAACCTCCAAAGAATCATGATTATGATATATTATGGGAGTACCTTTACTTGGATATTCATCAGGCAGATGTAGTCAAAATTAGATATTAGCAGACTACTTAACAAACCAACCACATAGCATGATACTTCCATTTCATATATTTGTGAATTAATAAGCTTTATCTGCTCAAAAGTACAAAAAGCTCTCTCCAAAAACCTCCGAACACCATGAAATATGAAAATAACAAAAACACAGAAGATTGACAACTTCCCATAAAGAATCGAGTAGTAACCCAGGAAAATGAAACTGGCCAACATAAAACAAATTGGTAACAGATGCGGGCTTCTAAGATGACAAAGTTAACAACTTGACCTGAAAAGATCCCTGTTTCAAACTCCTATTTAAGACCCTTCTCATCTTTTGGAACTTACACATCAAACAAATCTTGACTGGATCAATAACTCCCAAATCACAAAAGCTCAAATGTAAATTTGATTAATATGTTCACCAATCTTAAATGAGAAATCTTGAATGCTATATGATATGTGCAATATTTTCATAAACCCGCACAAATTCCTTCAAATCATCATAAGATGAGATCAATAGACTTAAGAAAATCACCAACTAAAATCAATTCCATTTTCAAATAATTTCAGCTCAGGCAATTTCACTGAGAGAGAGTGGGAAAGCAAATGGAATACTAACAATAATAGTAAAACCAAAATGTTCTAACAGAAAGATACCACAATTTCCAATCTTTTTGCTAATGCTTAATACATGAAGACTAAAAAAAAAAAACCTAATACATAAAAACTAGATAATAACAGTATCTGTCACTTGATCAGATTTTAAGACATGCATGCCTTCCACCCATATTTCAATCAAATTCAAAATGAGGGGAAAAAATAGGAACCCAAAATGATCAAATAATTCAATTCACATTAGTAAAATTGGGAATGAGAAATGTGAAAATAAAGAAGAAAATAATACAAGGGAGAGAAATTTTACAATAATTGAAGGGAAAGGTAAAATAGGGAATACCTTCTTGTGTTTGGCATTAAGCTCCTTGGATAAGACCCGTTGCATTCACTTACAACAAGAAACAAGCACCTGCGTTTGGTGCAGCAGCTGCATTTTGGTGCATTCTTCTTCCTTTCCTTCGTCCTTCGTTCCGTCATATTCCAAAAAACTTATCCAATTACAACGTATTAACCGCTAATGCACCTTCCTTTTATCAAATCTCAGGGGGCCTTCTCGTTCATCCTTTCCTGAAATACAGAGAGATTTGGCAGCAGAGGGCAAGCGAAGAGAGAGAAAGAGGAGAAATAAATTCACCAGAGCTCTTTGCTTCAAGAGCTCAAAAACAAACACAGAGAATAAGAGCTCTTTGCTTCAAGAGCTCAAGAACAAACACAGAGATCATTAACACAGAGAGAATAAAGTCAATAGCGTACCTCAAGATCAATGGCAAGGATCAGAGCTCAAGGATAGCTGAGTAAACACTAGCGGGCTGAGTGCAAAGAGAGGAGTTGGCATGCTGCGAACAAAGGGCTGGTCAACGGCTGAACTCGAAGAACAGAAGAGAGGTGGTCGTGCTGAGAAGAGAGGGGTGCTCAATGGCAAAGATGGGAAGTTGCAAAGAGAGGGGTGCTCACGACGAAGAGAGGGGTGCTCAGCGGGGTGGGTGTTCAGCGGTGAAAAAGAGAAAAGAGGTTAGGGTTATCGAAAAGGGGGAAGTTACGAACTTCCAATTTTAAGTTCGTCCTTTGGGTCGGAACTTCTTGTACAAAGGGACGTCAGAAGATGAACAGTAATTTGAAGTTCTCGTTTTTTATCAAACACGATAAACAGCATTAAGTAGTTCTCAACTTCTAGAAAGACATTTCCTGTCATCAAACACGCCCTAAAAATTATAAAGAGAATCCATAAAATTCCTATTCATAAATTTTCTATTTTTTTAATATAGATAATATTTTTTTATCTTTTAAAATCCTGTGAACCAGTTTCTTTATGTTTTTTAATGCTCTTTAGGCAAGAATTGGGTAACCATGCAAGTTTGCACTCCTGCCTAGCTTTTTTGACACTTAATGCGAAGAATCAAAAAATCGACTATCTAAATCGGAATTGCTGTAGTAGGCTCTGAATAAGTATAATTCATGGCCCAAACTTGGGTGAGTTCCCCATACCCCCATTTTCTTAGCCATTTTTGGCATTTCTTGGATCAATAATTGATCATCTATTTTAAACCCCCCAATTCTATCAATTTTAACACTCATTGTTCGTTATTAACTCCAATTATATCCAAAACAAGTTTAAGTATTCATCAAAATCTTGTAACTTTTTAATCCATAAAATATGATATGCCATTCTTACATTTTCTCTCATTTCTCACCAAAATAATTTGAAATTCTTTCAAATAACTTGATTTGCAATCTTCTAATAGACCCCTACAACAAATTGTTACCATTTCTCAGCAAAATAATTTGAAATTCTTTCAAATATTTTGATTTACAATCTTCCAATAAACCGTCACAACAAATTATTGAATCAAATAGCGAAATAGAAGAAATTGAGACTCAAATATTTCAGATATTTAGCGAACCAAAATTGAAAATCTCGATTTTCTCTCAATGTTGTACCATATTCGTCTAAATTTATCCCAAAATATTCCTTTCTTATTGATCTACAATTACAAAAGCCCTAACAAATTATTTGAAACAAAATAAAATATCTCTTTTAGTTCGATTTTTGGTTTATTTTCTAGCCACTTTCTTCCCAAAATATTATTTATTTTAATTTTTTGAATTTCTTTTTGTTCTATACCTCCTATTATATTAAATCAAATATTTGATTTTATCTATTTTTTAGATTTTGCAATTTTCCTCTATTTCCTTTCTTATGTGTTTTTTGTTTTTAAAAAATATTAGCTAAGTCAATCTAGCTTACTTTGTAATTGGACCAATTTGACTCAAGACCAGGACCACTGATTCATTGGTCCCACCGATCCGTGCTTCTAAATACCAATTAGCGATAGAGTTGACTCTACAATCGGACTGATCAATTCAAGACCAAGACCATTAGTTCGCCGGTCCCACCGATCTATGTTTCTAAATACTAGTTAGTGCGGTAAAGAATAAAAAAATCATACAAAGAGACCGTTTACTTTTGATACAAGAAGGTCACAATCGCTCTTATCCCTCGAATTCCAAATTGGATGGTTGTAATAGTATATTTGACCAAACACCGTTCAAAAAATAATTCTCGAGCTTCATAACCCACTCCAAGCCATCCAACTCAAAGTTTGTGGTTCATCCCAAGCCATCCAATTTGACATTTCATAGCTATGAGTAATTGTAACCTCTTTGCAACATAGATAAATGATATTATCGTACAATCCCTAAAGAATGCATGCATTATTTAGAATGTTAAGAACATAAACATAACAACATCCATGCTCCCCGTCCCTAAAGCATCTAACACGATCACACGTCCAACAATACAATCTCTTATCTTTGCAGTATTACAAAAATATCACCCATTTTTACACCCATGTCCCTCTTCTTCCTCAAATAAATGCAATGCTACAGAAAAGGGCTCCTTCAGTGTTTCACCAACATAGGAAGCCCTCTGTTTGAAAGAATTGCCCCCTCTTGCCTCCCAACGAGACACAAAAACCATCATCTAGAGATTTCCAAGATGCATAAAGATTTTGGCGATCAACCATTCAGTGGGTCATTGCAATTGATGCCATGTTGCTGCTTCTCTGACACCTTCGAAGAGTATAAACTGCTTATTAAGTTAATTTTTCTTCTACCAAAAGGGCTTCATCTCTAATGCATTGTAGCCACAACGGAGAAAGTGCCACAACCTTCCCAATAATAATTAGAGTTGGTGAAACCAATTCTGCTGCTTTAACTTTATCCACCAGATACTTCAGTTCAGCAAATACCTGAAGAGCATTTGAGCAAAGATGAGACTCTCTTGCATAATTCAACCCAATGTATAAAACATGGAATGCTTTCGATTGGCCCCTCCAGTGAACTGATTCTGACAGGCAAAACTGGACTATCTAGGTCAACTAAACAAGAAATAAAAATGGTTTAAAGTAGGGCAATTCTTGGGGCCATAGACCCTGAGCGGCCAACCAACGAACGCGGTCCTCCAGATCAAGTGATTTTGAGCCACTTGCTGCCTAGATTCAACCAATTATTGACCAAGCAACTTAGAAAGGATGACAGAACAAGTGAAAACAAGTGCCAAACTCTCTGAAGTTTACCAATTATTATTGACAAAGAGGCGTACTTGCAAGCAACTACAAGAGAAGAGATAGAAAACAAGCAATTGGAAAGGGAGTTGAAGTCACACGTATTATTAACTTGGTGAAGAGGAGAGAAGCAAAAATATTAGGTGGAAACTCAAGTTACATCTGAGAGCATCCATTAGTTGAATTACTTACCATCCGTTGCTGAGGTGTAGTTCCTCTCTCGACTGCAACTGATGGAGTATCAGGTGGGAGACCATCTCGACAAATCAACTTGAGAGCAAGTGAAGGGAGGGTGGACAATCCCATGTACACTATCAATGTTGTATCAAGAGCAGCAGCATTCTCCTCAATGAAAAGAGGGTCAGACCCTCCTTTCCTGGAATGCCCAGTGAGAAACCTAACGCTGCTTGCAAAAAAAGAAACATCAACATCTGAAAACTCGAACACTACTGACATCCTCAATTGCAGTCACTGGGACAAGGCAGTAGCTTAACAATTGCTTTAAAATAAGACGGTACATATCACTAAAATTTACGAAAACAGGAAGCCGTTAGTGATCATTTTGTTGTGTTTGGGGAGTACAGATAAATTATCGTTACATGATCTTTATGTTTGAGCTTATTACATATAAAGATTCTTAGTCAATCTACCATAAGAATTTTAATTTTGAATCTGATAAACCATGTGTCCACAATAAATAGGTAGAGGTATGAAAAAACCAGTAGTTACATAAATGTAGGGAAAGTTTGGAACTATAAAATCGATCTGATAACTTCATTACTAATATGTGAACCTTGGATGGGTATAAAAGTACTAAGCAACTCCAAATAAAACACTAGCATGGCAATACTAGTGTGTAGAAGAGAGCCCAATAAGACATTGAGGACATATCTATTGGACGCTAAAAAATTTACAAGAGACAAGAATATCAGTTACGAATCCCGCTTCACCTAAATCTCTATGCCATGAAAGGCAAAAGCCACTACTAACTGCACAGAAGCCAGCCAAACGAACATCCAGCCATATCAGGGTCATGCTTGTGTGCCTACAAAAGGAAAAGTAGAGACCAAAATGGCTTGACTGATCCGCAAACTCACAAGCATGACTGAAGATCAAAAATCTTTCCAGAGATGTCTAGCTTAATTTCCAAAAGCCAAATAAAATATCTCAATGTTCGCCTTACTGTCATTGCAGATAAAAATGCAATTGCACTTATCAATCCAACTGCCAGTGGTCAACAGTACACAAAATAGATGGTGAAACATTTCCTGCTTTCCATTAAAGAGAGAAATGCATGGTTCTTAAAGCCCAAGAAACCATATCTTAGCCTTTCCAAACATGTTACAGTTGCTTATCATCTTACATGTATCATAAGGAACCACCTAGGGTGTCGTTTCCACAGCAAAACATCTAATTCTATTTAGGTTGGATCATAACTACATTGTGTCTTCCACATTTTCCCAAATTCTAGATTTCCCCAGAGAAAATCAAAAGGTCATAGATCTTAAGTAACTAGTACAGTGCGATGAGTCTTCATCTTCACCCCTTTCATCTGCAACTCTGAGTGATCCTTTGATCCACAAAAGAGCAAGAACAAAAAATTCAAAATCATTTTTCAGTCTGGCCCATGCGCCTCTAGCAAGCATACTTTCAGAGAAACGGTGCTCCAGATTTTGAGATTTCCCTTAGGGCTGTCTAAAGAACATATCTGTATAATCTGTGGAACAGAAGCCTGTGTATCTCTTTTTTTTTTGTTCCAGTAGGCTGCCCTTGTAGTTTATAGTATCAAATGAACTTCTATTCATTTTTTATCAAATAATTGAATATTTAATTAAATGCCTCCACAAGATATTTCTCATGGCTGCAGCATGACCATTGGATGCAGTTGCGCACGTGTAATGCTTATCTCTTTGTGTGGACAAAACCACCAAAAAATAATCTCTCTATGTTGATGATGTGAGTGTTTTCCTCTATCTTGTTTATTCCACAACTATATTATGCAGTCATAGACACTAGAGGCAACCAACTCTCATTGAAGGCGTAAGCCCCATCTAAGGCATCAAAAATAACAAAAACTACATGCACATCATACTTCAGACTAATTATAACGTTCACTTTAGAAAATGTAGTAGTCTTAATTACATAAAATGACAATAAGGCATAAAATGATTGATTCTAAATTTGTAAGTCCACCCAAGAAAGAATAAATGCAACTTGTAAGCGAGGAGTAATACCATTCCATCCAAGGAACACAATGCATGATAGCGAGGAGTAAGACAATTCCATCCAAGGAAACAATGTATGACAACTCAGTGATCTACTCAAAAACAAAAGTATGATAAGAACGGCAGTTATCACTGCAACACTAGAGAAACAAACAGTTGAAGAGGCAGATTATGCATGACCTTTAAGCAGTAAACTGGAATTAAACCGACCAATGAACACTACAAGCATCTTCAATACCTAACAGGATTCCCATAGAATGCCCAGAGAAATCAGGCTACAGATGGAGAAAGCAATCCGGACTGGCAAAACAATTGTCCACCCAGCCTCCGATTTGTTAGCAAACCAATAGGTGACATTGATTTAGGAAGTTATCTCCTACACATGTTAATTTTTGGTTCAAAATATTCCATTACCTCAATCCTGTACTACCCAGTTATGCTTTCTCACATGCGACATAAATACACAACTGGATTAAAAATTAAAACTTATAACATGCTTTTAATGATTGAAAAAACACTTCTCACTAAATAGAGCAGGATAATCAATTGGCATAGATGATCCATGAAGAAAGCCCAAGGTTACTAGTAACAACCCTAAAACATTGGATTTTACATTACAATATATTACTTCTCACCCAGTAAATTAATGAAAATTCCAATGCAGTGCTTTCAAGGCATGTAAGTTTTGAGCTGACCTATTTGCAACACCACGATGTGTCAAAGGGATCCCCAACTCTGCAGCAATTCCTGAAGCAGCTGTGATACCTACATAATTTATAAAATATCACTTTTACTCCGACATAGTTTCTTCATGAGCAATTCAATAAGCATTAAAACCTAAAAATGGCTCAATGAAGAGACTACAGCAAAATCAAACTTATGGAACATTTGTGTGACTTATACCTGGTATAACCTTTACATGAATTCCTTGTTGTTGAAGGAAATCCATCTCCTCTCCACCCCTCCCAAAGATCTGCAAAAGGTAATAATAGATAGCAATTAAATAAGCTGTAGGGACATAAGAAAGAAAACAGTTTGGCAAAACTCACTTATGCATTACCAGCACCAACTCAACATCCCGAATTGACAAATATAAAAAATATCCCTTTCATAAAATTAGTATGCTTGTGTCCTGTATTGTTTTCCAGTATTGCCAAACAGAATTTGCAAGGCCCAGTCATGGTTGCAAATCCGACAACCTTTAAAGAATTTGCAAATTCAGATATTGCCAAACAGAATTTGCAAGGCCCAGTCATGATTGCAAATCCAACGCCCTTTAAAGAACTCATATTCCATCTCAAGCAAAAATGTCAATCAACCAAACAAACCACAATAAGGATTAGAGGTAGGGTCCAAAGGAAAATCCATACCAATGGGTCGCCGCCTTTCAGCCTCACTACTGTGGCACCCACTTCTGCAAAGCTCAGCAGCAGCTCATGGATCTCATCCTAAAAACAAGACCACCAACCCAATTAAAGCAAGCTTTCATTACACCACACACACCCAAATAAGAAACACAAGGAAATCCAGAGAAAGAAAAATCGACATAAACTGAAGGCCATGACATAGACTGGCCCCGGTACAATATACAGAGCCAAACAAACTCTCAAATTTTCAGGAGCAAAAAATTGAGAGAAAAAGCCAGTTTTAGATCATAGAAATTTATCTATCAAAATTCACCATTGTTTGGATGAATTACCCGAATTGCAGAAACCCAATAAGGTATGACTCTGCTTTAAAACCATAATAAATCAAAGGGTGAATCTTTTATGCTAAATCCAAGCTCGCAGTAAACATGTCAGAGTTTTTGAAAGTGGAACCCACTAGCCAGACATAAATTTCCCCATCCAAAAGAACGAAACCAGAACCCAAATCAAACAGTCATGCCCCCTGCAAACTGAAAACCCAAGCATAGGAGACAGAACAATGCGAACTGATAGAAGTCCGTGGTAACCAGTGAAGGAAATTGGAAAAGAGATATAAAGAAAATTAAAGAATTTCACACAAAACATTTTCACCATGAATGGAGGAAGCGAAATTATACCTGAGTTCTACTGTGGTAACCAGCAGTTTTCCCAACATAGAGCATTTTAGCATCAGGTTGAACCAAATCCATGATATCATTTGAAACCAATCGATCATACAACACTAAATTTGCAGACTTAATCAATCTCAAAGCTTTCACGGTCAAAAGTTCAGGGTCCCCAGGTCCAGTTCCAACCAGATAAACACTTCCAGGCCCTTCTCTCCTTCCTCCGCCTTCACCTGCTCTCCTCGCCTTCAGAGCTTGAAGGAGCTTCTTCAGCTCTGGCAATTGAAGAGCAATGTCGTCATCGCTCCCGGAACCCAAATCACCAGGCAAAGGGCGACTACATTTTTGAGCAACTGGGTACAACCATTGGTCTCTCTCGTATCTCTGCATTGAGTGCTTCTCAGTGAATGGAGAGGTTCTCGGTGTAGAGCAGCGCGGAATGGAGATGGGTAGTCTGTTTGCGGAATCGTGGTGATGAAAAATGTTAGGTTTAGAAGCGATTTGATGAAAAGTAGAAATTTGAGCAGGACTGATCTTGAATACGGTGGCCATGTATCAGAATCGACGGGAGGGAGCTTAATGGAATGTTTAGTGTGGCTGGAAAGGCCTACGTTTTCTTTTCATGTGGAGTGTAACTCGCGCATTCGTGTACAAACCAGTGCAGAAAAGTCCCACGAATATCTCCCTCTTTCCTTGTGCGTACTCCTCTGTCTCTTTCCTATGTCCTTTGTCCTTCTCTTCTCCTCTTCTCCTCCGAGCAGTAGCAGCAGCGGGATCGCCTCCGAGCAGCAGCAGCAGCGGGAGAGTCGGAAGAGGGATGTTATCACAAACATATAACAGCTCCAGTGACCACAGACCTAATAGAGAGAGCGAGAGCGATTCGACAGAACAGAGTTTTTTTATGCGAAGAAAGGAGGGAGGGGTCAGCGTTTTTGGAGGGGTGAAAAGACGGCTTTTCGCCGTGGGAAAGGCCGCGGGCTTTTTTATATAAAATACTAGAGTAATAATATGAAAAAAAATTAATATGCAACAATATTTAACTTTATACAAGCCGGTTAGGTGGGTATATTTATTTCATTAACCAAGCTCCAAGTTTAAAAGTTATTTTTTCGAATTTTGATACACACTTAAGCTATAAAACTCATATTATATCGTTGTAAGTAGTTATGACCTCTTCATCCCAAAAGATTAACGGTCTCATTGTATACAATCTCAAAGTTTATACAAAGCCGAGCCTTTAAACAATCAAATTAGAGTTGGACCTGGTTTTTATGCGGCCACGCCTGCATATGTAGAAATGCGGGCCTATTAATAAATCTATTTTTGGATTTAATTTTTAAGGACATGTAATCTCTAACATGGTGAACATGAATATAATAAATAAATAAATTTTAAAAACTAAAAATACATTCTAGTAAAAAAAACATTTGGAGCGTTAGTTTCCATTGTTTTTAGATGAAACACCTATTTGCATCCAAGCCGCATATGTAGTCAGGCGGTTCAGCCTGTATAAAACAATTTTCCATTAAAATTTAGCGATTTGAATTTCAATCATTTATCCGAATTGGGAATCATTCACATCATTTTGGATATCTCAATGTACCTAGATCTAGACGACTCCTTGAACTAGCTAAGCCGCCAGTCAGGAATCGGCCAATTCTATCAGAACAAAACCTAATCAGACATAACAGGTCTAAACAATCACCTTTTTTTTTTTGGAAGTTGATTAAACATAGGCGGTCCACCCCACCTTTTTTTGGAAGTAGTGCAAATGCCAATTACACACAACGTGTCCCAACCATTGTTAGAAAAACCAGTCGTTTTGAACTGGAACGAACCAGTTAGATTGGAACACTACATTTCCCAATCCGGTTAGAGCAGGTTTTGGGGTTCTAATGTATATATATAACACCACAAAAAAAAATTTGGGCCAAAATCAGACGGTATAAACCCAAACCACTCAATTTTCTTGCTAACAGGACGGTTTTTTACTTAACCGGACCTGTTTTAAAAAAAAAACGTTTTTTTCGTTGTAATAGGCGTAATAACACGTGTTATATCACTGTGCGTCGTTATTTATTACAAGCGCCGTTTTAGTTAACTGAAGTCACTGGCTTTGTTTAATTCAATATTCGATTCGATTTTGCATACTTCATCAACTTTTTCTGACAATAATTAAACGAAAGTATTGATTTTATTCTATAAAACAAACTATTTGAGAACAAAAACACATCAAAATTATATTTTTCTTGGCTGTTATTTGAATGATCGTCATAATTTTGAGAAAAATCCTCAAATGTACAAATCTTGGTATTGTTTTTTTCTTTTTTCTCTAGGCTTTTTGTAGATGACAGAGACTGCATTCCTGATTTCATAGAAATATAGATATTTTGGACTTGATTTTGATAGATTGCGGCTTCATTTAAGTTGGAAGAAAATAAGGTAAGCCCCAACCCAAATTATAGTTATTTTAAAAAAAAAAAATCCTAGTTTTTCAAGATTTTTAAACAATAATTAAATGAATTATTGATTTTTTCCATAAATATTCCATTTGAGAGCAAAAACACATCAAAATTGAATTTTTCTTAACCGTTATTTGGGTGTTTCTCATAACTTTGAGAAACATCCGTAAATCTACAGATTTTGGCCTTTTTTTACTTTTTCTTGATCAAAATGTGGGGTTTTTGTGGATGATATAGATATTCAAACTACTACACTCCTGATTTCATTGAAATCTAGAGATTTCGGACTAGATATTGACATATAACAACTTCATTTGAGTTAGAAGTAAATAGGGTAAGCTCCTACCTGAATTATAGTTAAAAAATTCATAGTTTTTTAGGCTTTTTCAAATAATAATAGAAATAAATTATTGATTTTATTCTATCAAATATTTGATTTGAGAATAAAAACATACCGTAATTGAATTTTTCTTCGTCGTTATTTGAGTGTTCATCATAATTTTGAGAAAAATCCGCAAGTCTTCAATTCTTGACGTCGTTTTTTATTTTTTCTCAATCAAAATGGGGGCCTTTTGCAGATTACAGATATATTAAGAATACAGTGCTCTTGATTTCATCGAAATCCAAAGATTTTGGGCTAAATTTTGATAGATTACAGTTTCTTTTGAGCTAAGAAGAAAACTGGATACTCGACCAAGTGAGAATTTCAGAGAAGTGACAAGGCTGGTGGATAATTAGCGTAACGTGGTAGCGAAATGGGTTTGGTAACTGAGACTGGCTCAAGGGATTGCTACTAGACGCTATTGTCGATATCGACTAGCTAAGCACGATGGTCGGTTTGTCGTGGTAATAAAGCGAGCCAAGCGAACCTGGTGCAACAACATTACGGCTAGATGACAGGACTGCCATAAGATGCTAACCTCAATCCCTCTTGGTCGAATGAAAGAGTAGCAGAGGAATGGTTAAAGAGAAGAAGGGAATGGGCAGAGGGAGAGAGAAGCAGGAAGAGAGGAGAGAGAAGAAGGAAGAGGAGATGTAGTCGGTGCTAGACATTGCTGACTATTTCAGGAGATGGGAGAGAGAGGAAGCAGTCGGCGCTAGGCTTCGCTGACTGTGTCAGATGAGAAGAGAGGAAGAACCAATTGGCACTAAGTCTCGTCAACTGACAGAAGAAGAAAGGGAAAATCAGCCGGTGCTGAGTCTCGCCGACTGATAGCAGGGGAAAGAGAAAACCAACCGGTACTAGGTCTTGCCAACTGACAGAAGAAGAGAGAGAAGACCAACCGGCGCTAGGTCTCGTCGATAGGTAGAAGAAGAGAGAGAAGACCAACTGGTGTTAGGTCTTGTCGACTGGTAAAAGAAGAGAGAGAAGATCAACCGACGCTAGGTCTTACCAACTGGTAGAAGAAGGGAGAGAAGACCAACCAGTGCTAGGCCTCGCCGACTAATAGAATAAGAGGGAGAAGACCAACCGGCGATAGGTCTTGCTGACTAATAGAAGAAGAGAGATGAGGCCAACCTGCGCTAGACCTCACCAGTTGACAGAAGAAGATAGAAAAGACCAACCGGTGCTAGGTCTTGTCAGTTGACAGAAGAAGATAGATAAGACTAACCAACGATGGGCCTTACCAGTTAACACAAGAAGATAGAGAGGACCAACCGGCGCTAAGTCTCAGCAATTGATAGAAGAAGATAGAGACGAGAATAGAAGATGAGAGAGAGAGAGAGATAGAGATGAAGAGAGAGAAAGAGAAGAAGAACGAGAGAGAGAGAGAAAGCGAGAGAAGAGAGAGAAGAGAGAGAGGAGGACAGAGAAGGTTGCCTATCCGAAGGGTACTGGCCCTTTTATTCTCTCTCCTTTCTCTCTCTCCAAGACGTACTCACAGGCTCAAGCAATGGATCAAAATTTTATTGAATCCTCAAATAATGAATCGAGCGTTGAGAGTCCTCTTTATAATGAGGCAATGCTTGTTTATATAAAATTGTGCCCAAACATGGGTGGATTGATCAAAATGAAACTTAATTAATAAAAATTAAGATTTAATTGAATTAAAAAAAATCTAAAAATGGGTACAAAATGATTGTTTTGCCCCTACTTAACAATGTGTGGAATTTCATAACAGTCCCTGCTGCCCCCCGAGATCTTGCGTGATCTTCTATGGCTAACCCAAGGGTGTTCTGATGCCCGTTTAATTTAAAGGTTATTGTTTTCTTTTAGGGCTCGGCATGACGATCGTTTTGTTACCAATTTCGAACCATGAATCATGTTTTTAAGCCATGATCACGAGACTTGAAATTTGTTTGAGTCTTGGAAACTTTGGATCAATGATGAACTTGTTCCTTGATGTTTTTCTGTGATTTCTTCATAGTAGTGCACTGACCATGCCGTCACGATCGTGTGGCAACAAACAGAATGTGATTTGGAACCCGAACGAAGATTTCGCAACTTTTAAGTTTTGTCAGAATCTGGAATCCGACGACCGGAATTTCAGTTACTTCGTCGGCTTCGTGCATGAAATCTAACCGTCAATGATAGCCCTAGACCTTATGCACACAATGGAATTAGTTTCGTGTTGATCCGTTGCATGAGCATCGTGATTTGGTCCATCAAGCGAGGTGTGTCGCTGCTGAATTTTATGCAATTTCTTTACGGATCGACAACTTTTCTCTAGCTTTTCTCCAGCTTTTCTCCCTGCTCGGACATTGTCTCTGGGCGCGCCACATATCGAATTGTTCGTCTTAATGAAACGAATACGCTCGCCAAATTTGGGAGCGATCCGAATTGGAACGAGTGAGTTACGGGCCCTAAAAGTAATTGCCCATCACTGTAAAACAGTCACCTTTAATGGTGTTTTGGTTTAATGAGGCCACACGGGAATAGTGTGTGACCTCTTATGTTTCAATGTTTGGCTCATATCTTTGTCCTAGAGTATCCGATTAAGTCGAAACTTAGCTCATAAGGGTTTTCGACCGTACTGAATATAATGGTGGCGGTTCCACAGTGATTTGAGATACCGAAAATGTAGTTCCAATTGTAGGGTCCGTTTCAGGGTACTGGAGGTCATTTTTCCGAAAATTGTTCCTTTGTGTTCACTGCTTTAAACATGTCAAAATGCGATGAAACTTGACAAGTAGTATTTTGGAGTGCTGATGACGATCTTGACCCATTATGGGGGCACTTTGAGACTGTCGGGAATTTCTACTGTTTTGTTGGCTTTATTGACCTGCTTCCTACCAGAGACCAAGGTGCTGAAAAATATGCTCAAACACACATATGCCACAAAAAAAAAAGTTTCATCATCACACACATTCAAGTAAGTAGAAAAAGATGAAATTTCATGAATTTTATCAAGCAAGTACATATCCCCATGAGCTTTCCCCCATATAATGATTTTCCTATTAATCTCAATTGAAATTTTTCCATCCTTGAAACGAACTTCATATCCCTTGGCATCAAGCCTCCTGACTAACAACAAGTTACAATGAAGGGAATGAGCATAAAGAGTATCAAAAAAGAGCAAGAAGTTCCCATTTGGGATAGCTAATTTGTAAGTACCAATACCCAATACATCAAACTTAGAATCATTGCCCATAAAGATGACATGTTCTCCAACTTTAAGCTCTTTAAGTTCCACAAAGCCCTATCCAAACTTGGATATGTGTTTAGTGGCCCCAGAGTCCACCCACCAACAATCAATAG